AAGGTAATGAATTGGTGATTCGGTCAAGTCATACAACAGTCAGTCATAACCATTCTTTTTTTTTATTATTATTATTGAATATTAGGTTTGTTCTTTTATTGATATATACACAAAAAAAAAATTGTTCTTTTATTGAGTTCATAATTTGATCGTGTTATTTCACTTTTATTTGATGAAAAACTACTCTCCGTTAAAATCCCAGTTATAATTCTTTTCATGTTTAATCTGTATTGTAAATAAATATTCATATGTTTGGTCATTCTTCAATCCTAAACTTCTCTCCTAAGAGTTTAAGTTCAAAATCTTTTCTTTTATTATTTTTCTGAAATTACTGCAGAGAACCAGGGGCAGAGCAAAGGTTTCAAGGATATGGTTATTGCTTATGAAGTAAGAAAGGCGAGATTAAACATGATTCGACCAATGGAAAAGAAAGATGAAGACGAAAATGCTCAATATTAATCCAAAGCAATTATTAGTTGAGCTTCCCATAATTTTCTCTCCATAACTAATTTGCTTAAGCACTAACTAGCATGAAGGTGTTCCTTGACCAACCTAAGGAAATTACTGTAGGAAGAACCACCAACAGCAGTTGCTTTTTCTGCTTTCTTTCTCCATTGCACACTATTTTGCCTCAACTCCTTTCCCTCGTCTCCTTCCATCATTTCCTTCACAATTGCTACAACATCTGTGTGCTTTACGTCGTCGTTCAGTTCCATTCCAATGCCCCAATTGACACAAGCATATCGACAATTTGTTTGTTGATCTGCAAAGAACGGCCAAGATATCAATGGCACACCTCCACATATGCCTTCCAAAGTAGAGTTCCATCCACAGTGAGTCAGAAAAACCCCCATTGATGGGTGTGCCAGCACTTGCTCTTGCGGACACCAGCTTGTTAGAAATCCCCTGTCCTTCGTCTCTTCTACAAAATCTTGAGGTAAAACAGCTGAATCGTCCAATACCATATCAGGCCTCAATACCCACAAGAATGGTTGCTTGCTCTCTGCTAGTCCCCATGCAAATTCTCTTAAACATTGGTCTGTCATCGTGGTTATGCAGCCAAAACTTACATATACAACAGATTTTGGGGCCTGTGAATCGAGCCACTTGAGGCATTTTCGGTCTTCCTTCCACACACTCAACCTTAATGGCATCAAATGGCTTTCGGTTACTTGTCTGCTTAGTAAGGATAAGGGTCCTACAGTGTATATTTGGGGAAACTTTGCTGAAATTGCTTCTAACACATCATGTTCAAGCTCATCGAATGTGTTGAAGATGAGAGCAGAAGATCTCAAGCAACTTTGGGCTTCCGATCCCATGAAATCAAACATTGTGTCATCTATGTTTGTAGTTTTTATGAAGCTTGGGAGGTCCCTAAGGCGGATGTTTTTCATTCCTGGGATCCAGTTGATGGGTGTGTCAAGTGTACCATCACTCAAGAAAGTCTCATCTGAATGAAAAAATGAGTCATTATAAGGGACGAATAAGATAAGTTTAGAGCAGGTTTTACAGATAAGATGATGAGTTTTTCTTTTCTATTAAAATTCAAAGTTAATATTTCCATGGTAATATCACTACAACTCGATTATATTGTCAACTTCTCTAACATATACCAAAACAATAATCATTAAAAGGAAAAAAAAAATTTAACTAGTCTAATACCACAATATAAAATCATGGGAATGGCAATACATGATATATAGAACTGCAAAAGCTCCAGGAAAACTCATACCTTTGAATGGCAAAATTCCTCTTCGCACAAGCTCATCAAACTGCAGATACCCCATGAAGCCACAAGCAGAAGCGGTCCAAAACTGAACCTCTGGAATCCCCAACTCCTCAGCAGCCTTTATAGCAAAGCTCAAGACCCCATCGGCGATTATGCAGGTCACTGGAGGCACCTCCACCGAAGAATTTAGCTCAGCCACCAACTGTTTGAATGGTTTCAAAAAGTTCCTCCTAGTCGAATCACAGAGCGTCGGAACATCTGGGGAGGCTTTGTGCTCAGATGGAGGCAACCCGTCTGGTATGGTCTGGAACTGGAAACCGGATAAGCCCTTCACGGCATCAGGTGCCTGGAACTGTCTTATGTGGTTGTGATAGAACTCGGGGATGACAAAGGTTATGTGGAAACCAGTTGAATGGAGAAGCTTGGCTAATTGCAGAAGGGGCAACGTGTGCCCTTGCTCTGGATATGGGATGCACACTGCATGAGGTTTATCGGCCACTGACTTGCTCATCTCGATCAACCAAGATGACAAACTTCAAGACTTCAATTTTGAAGAACTATGTTTTGGATAAAACATAGTACTAATGATTCATCTGTCTTCATCTGTAAATTTGACTGACAGGATTGAATGGATTATATGAATAGACTTGTCATCACTAACACCGAATAAAGTAAACCATCTAGTCCATTCTTGTCTCTTCCAAGTTCCAACTACATTTTCGAGAAAATACTTGTGCGGCAAAACGAATAAACAACCAAAGCAGGGGCCCACATATTTTTGTCTTTGCTTGGTATATTATTTTACCTTCGGACCAAAAGTCTTGATGATAATCAGATCGAGACTTCTTTCTTTTTACGAAGGTATGAGATAAATAGATTTTAATGTTCAGCTGAAAGTGAACTATCATAAATCAATTTGAAGCTGAACAATTTCGTAATACTATGATTGCAAGAAATCGGTTTTGACCCCCACCGATATCCATGCAATGGATACTTTAACCACCAGGCACTGAATGAACAGTATTTGAGCCATGAAGGGACAATTCTTAGATTCGGTACGAGTCAATAAAATATATTGTTACGCTGGGCAACGATAAATGAAAATGTTCTGACCTGATCCAAACTTACGATTCTCCAGAGCATGATATGGCCTGTACATTCAGCAAGAGACACCGTTCATTCACTTTTGATCTTAAAGCAATAGAATAAGAAGCTACGAGTCAAATGCCTGACACGTGTATGAAAGGATAGGATTAGTTGGGCAACTGAGAAGATTAATCAGTCCAGCTCCTCTTGTATCCACTAACCACCAACAGACATCGTCAAAACAACAGCATCATATGATGCCCTTTCTGGTAGTGACTTTCAAATTATATATATTTTCTAGTGAACAAGAGGATTGTAAACAAAATCTTCAATTGAATCTTGCCATTCAAATATACATATAGACCTGTACATTGTATGGAAATACCAAAACAATATTAGCAGCAAAACTTCATGGAACCTCCCTGGTTATCATGAATTCAATGTTGTAAGAAATTTTCTATCTGGCAGTGGCAACATTTTGTAGTAGTGAATCTAAGTCCTTCAATCTGTAATTATGGTACAAAAACTAAAAATTAGAATAATGCCAAGGGATTAAATAGAGAAGAAAATATAATAGAGAAACTTGAGTAGCTTGGGTACCTTATTTCACTCAAGTCTGGATAGGTTGCTATCGCTTCTTTAAAATCCTGATTTCAAAAGTCCAGATATCGTTACCATCAGGGATATATTTGGCTAAGCTAAGGTAAAACATTTTGTGAGTCCGGGAACATGACACAATCTTACCTGGTTTGCTGTGGAAGTTGTGTAGGTAACKACACATTGCATCCCAGCTTTTGTTGCAGCCTAAAAATGCAAATGAAGTTTTGAGATGATTTATTTATACATTCTGGTTTTCATTCTCAAAGTCTTCTATTTATAAAACCATAGTTACAGAGCAATCGATATACCTGCAAGCCAATAACACTATCCTCAACCACCAGGCAATCCTTTTCTGACACGCCTAGCTTCTGCAAGGCATATGTTACAGTTAAAATAACAATGCGTGTCCACTGCATATCAAGGGAGAAAGGTTCCAAAGTCATGAACTACGCATTAGTTACTTTTGAAGCTGTTATGTATATAGATGGATCTGGCTTCTTTTCTTTCACATCATCGCCTAGAAATAAACAAAAAATCCAAAAAATCAGTTGACTTCCAGAACCAACTAAGCTGAAACAAATGGATATCATCAATTCATCATTGACTGATTTCAAACAAACCAATCAGTTATTAACTTATTTGACAGGAGAGAGAAATCGTTTGTAATTGAATGCATGGTTGTACATTCAATTACCCAACAGCAAAGGCTCTGAGAAATTTCTTCAAGCTTATCACCCTCACCCATGCATTCATTTCATTTTTGTCCTTATTGTTGTAAGGCATATGTCCAATAACGGATGAGAATTCCGTATAGCAATTTTACCACAAGAAAGTATTGCATAGGAAAAATAGCAAGCTTACCAGCAAGGAAGCAATCAAGATTTTGAAACCGATCCTAAAATCAGAGAAGCATATTATACAATTATCTCGACAAGAGGAAAATTTGATCCTAAATCTATTAAAACAGAGTCTAGAGGCTTACAATTCCAATGAGGTTTTCAAGGCAAAGAATAACTGAACTTTTGGTAGCTGCAGAGCATACAGCAAGTTTCCTGCCCTACAAAAACAATACAGTATTTTACCTTAATTTCATAATCAACTTGAAGAAAAAGAAATATTGATACAAGAAGTAGAAAATTAAATGACAGAATTGACGTAAAGGACTATAAAAGTAAGTTAATGACAAAATGAACAGAGAAATGCGCCCATCACTTTGGCATATGTTTTAGAATAGGTGCATGGATCAAACCACCACAAATGATACAAGCCTAAAACAGTCCTAGATAATTATGAGATGATATCTTTCCAAATGGGTTAAGATAATTCAAAGTTCAAAACTTTATCCAGAGAAAAAACATGCAGATGGTTAAACTATTACTTACAGCGGACTTTGCCTCATCCATCAATCTTAGAACCCCAGGCCTGGGCTTCACCTGATAGAATTAAAGCAACTTTATGTTTGACGAGCCGAGCCACTCAAGCAACACAAGTAATAAAAGTTGCGTAAACAAGAAAAATCCAATGACAAATGATGCTTGATTATTTCCTTACGGTTCCAGATTTGATAATTTCTTTGTACCTTTCCGTTTTCCAGTCCTACAAGATCAAAGAAAGGGCATTAATAGAACCTCAGAGCACAAATTGTATCACGAACGTTGATTATTAGCATAAAACATATGGATCATAGCTTGCAATAGATCAGTTAAAATGGAAAAGCGTACGCAAATACTAAACTCTTCCAATGAATGCACAAGAACCGCCTGAACAGTCCATATGTACAATACTAATCCAGTATAAAATAAAAAGAGTCAAATACGAGGATATCCAATTTATATGTAGTATAAACCAACACAAATTATGAAAGCGCTCATAGCCTACATTCTCTCTCTCAGTAGCCAAATGATATAATAGCATCAGTATCGCATCACGTCACCGTAACAATAGAGATATAAGTCAGAAGTCAAATAAATATGCCTGAAGAGTATCGATCAACTTTGCTTGGTCCTCATCGTCTTCCGGAGCCTTCTCGAGGATCGTTGAAGATGGCCATCCATACTCCTTGAAGTACCTTACAGATGCAAAAACACCAATAATCCGCCGAGAACGCGTTATACAAATTACTAAGAGTCATAATAAAAAGAGAAGAATACCATCGCATTTTGGGCTTGCCGCCACCAATGCGGTTCTGGAGATCGTCGTAGAACTCGATGCTCCAATTGAGAGGCTCCGACGTAGAATTAGGGCAACGGACGTCGAAATGAGCAAACGCATCGTTATATGCTTGGCGGTGCAGGTGCTCGGACTCAAGGATGACGCCGTCACAGTCGAAAATTAGAGCTTGTAAAGAAGCCGAGACGGAGAGGGAGAAAGGTTTGTAAGAGGTAGATTTCTTGGACCTGCGGAAGCGGATGGCTGTGGGAGGAAGAGATCGACGAAGAGGAAGGGAAACCATGTCGGAAGAAGAGGGTATGAGATTGGGGCGAACGAGCATCACAGTGATGCTCGCCATGGCTGAGACGGAGAAGGAGAGCAGCTCGAGTTTCTGTGGCGCGGAACGCTCCCCGGCAACCCAACGGATTTTGTTTTGCAACCGTTATAGACCTCAACCTCAACTGTGAATCCTGTATTCCTTTTCTACTTTATCACAATGGAGAGATTATTGGTGAATCATGATGAGCTCTCACAACTATCAGATTAGGTGGATGACAAGAATTTATCTTTTGATTTAAATTTAAATCGAAGGTTTAAATATAATTTTGGTGAGGTGTAATTTCCGTTTATTTTACTTGTTATACTTTTAATATTTTTATTTTAATTTTCAAAAAAATATTTTTTTTATTTTTATTATATTTTAATCTCTCCACTTTTAAACTTTTAAAATTTAGTGTTGTACTTTAAAAAGGTAACTATTTTGATAACTTCATTTTTAATTTCAGCACGATACTTCATTTACTAAAAATCTTAAATTTTAGTCATACATTTATATTAAATAGTTTTAATTGTATATAAAATTTGTGAGACTAAATTAGTCACTTTTTTTAAAAAAATCAAAATGGTCATTGTAAAAGTATAATGACTAAAATGAAAAAAAAAATACATAAACTAAAATAAACCAAAACTAAGAATACATCAACCAAAATAGTATTTATTACTTCAACTTTGATTTAATTTTTCTCCATATATAGTTATAGAAATTTAATTATAAATATCTATTTCTAATGATTTAGTTAAATTCTTCTAAAACGTTTCTACTATTATATAGATATAAACAATGTTATTACGTATTAGTTATCACATTCTTTTTTCGGATATGGCAAAGACTAGTGATGAGAGGGTACTCAGTATTCGGTAGGTAGGTGCGACGGTTAAATTATATTACTGGATTTATTTATTAGAATTTGAGTTGAACAAAAATTAACGAAAACCATGTTTTTTGGTAAAGAGAAACATGTCATGCACAAAGGTGTGAGGTTGCGATATTATGATTTGACTTTATAAATATGATTTACCTATTTTTAACAAGAAAATACTTAGCTCCACTAATCATAACTTATTTCTATTTCCAACATCATTAAAAAAAAATGATAGCTCTTATTAAAAAAAATTTCCACTTTTATATTTATCTTTCTTAAATTTCAAATATTCAATAGTAGTCCAAGTATTTTCTCTATTTCTTTTATTCAACTTAAACTTTAATATAGTTACATTATCTCAACTTTTTTTCTCTCGCATGTAAAAGAGATTATAACCTACCACACAAGAAGTATAAATTGAACTTTAAAGATTATAAGCCTTAATTTTGAAATCAAGCTCAAATCATTAAGGTTATAAAGAATCCATTTTAAAATATATATTTTTTAAATAATTTTTATTTTCAAATTTATTTCCAAAATGATGTTTTCTTGAAATTTATTAATTGTATAATACGTTGATTGAAATTTATTTAGAAAATAATACTTTTGAAAATCTTCCACCAGTTGACCGTCTCTAAGAAGAGAGGACAACAACATTTTCAACCTGAAGAGAGGGTTATCTAGATGGCGATGATCTGTTGGCGCCACGTCTATTTATTTTATTTATTAAATGAAGATATGAGTTGTTTCTTGAAAAGATGACTATTTAGATGCACATTTGATTTTTTGGAAAGAAAATATATTAATTATATTATATATTAAATAATAGCATAATATTTAATATGTTGGTCTTTGGCGTAGTTGATATAGCGCATACTTGATTTTCTCAACTTCGTGTTTGAACACGGCAAGAAAGTAAGGCACATCCACCGTGCCAAAGACTATCATTGAAACAATTGTGCTATTATGTAATATATAATATAATTAACATTTTTTAAAAAATTTACAATATGTCATCTTTTGGAGAGACAACTGCAAATGCATGCCTAGATGGTTATCTTTTGAGAGACGATCATATCTTGATTTTTCTAAATGATTAGATATAGCACCAATAGAGCACCAAATCTTCTAATCGACTAAATGCTAAAAATATCTTTTTCTTTTGAAAAGACGTTCAAATGTTGAAAAATTTTAAAAAGCATTATAATTTTGAATAAAATTTAACATACGGATTATATATTTAGTATATTTAAAACCAACATTATTTTGTAAACAAGTTTGAAAATGACCACTATTTTTTTAAAAAATTCCTAAAAAATCAACCAATCAAATATTGTTTCGCCGAAATTGTGTTAAAATAAATATAATTTTAAAAACAACTCAAACAATTTCATGTTCTCATTTTCAGAGAACTTAGATGGATTTGACAACATTTTATATTTCTCATTTTTTTACTTATTACTTTATTAATAATGTTCTTCGAGTTGGAACGACATTTTAAATCAAAACAAAAAAGGAAACACTACCTTTTTTTATTTTTACTCTATTTTTGCACATCAATGATGAAATAAACATTATTACCAAACAAAACCAATTGTTTCTCGTTTTCCACACTACCTTTTTAAATTTATGTAACAGATTTCTTTTTTAATTCAGGTAATAAATTCAAAAACTATTTTACCCCTTGAAATTTTTTTTTTAAAATTTCAACTTACAGAGTATAAAATTTTGAAAATAAACAAACACAATTTTTTCATTTAAAAAAATCCACCACCTAATTTTATTTTTTTTTAAAACACCAGAATATGGAAAAAAAAACTAATTAAAACAAATATAAATTTTCTACCTCAATTAACGCCCAAATATTAAGTAAAACTTATCCACAAGTTGGTGAATAAAAACAAGATTATCTAATAAGGATATTCTTTTACAATTAAGTTTATCTACCCACCATTTTTTTAAAGTCAATTTTTAAAGATTTAAAACAATTTTCAAACGATCTTTTTTTAATGAAAATTTAAATGTATTAGATATAAAGAAATTATAATTGAAAAAAAAAAAGAAAAGACAATCTTTTAAAAACTACAAAAAAAAGTAAAGTTGAATTATTGTGCTGGTTTCAATTTTAAAATGTGAGGCATTTGGAGTCATTCAGATCAGATGGGATGGCTGCAGCAAGAGAGCAGAGAGGCAAAAAGATCTAAACTCACATCAAAAAGAGTTTGAAAAATGCAGCAAAATCCGATTTGATCTGTGGCTGAGGCTTGTTCTGTCAGAACCTTATGTAAATCCCAAGAAGATAAGGAAAAGCCAAGTGATGTATGTCATGTCCCCATGGCCATACTCAAAATAATCTTTTAAAAAAACACCAAACAAAGGAGTTTCGTAAAGTTGAGATGTTTTTCTTCAAAAAGAAGAAACAATAGAAAGCAGAAAAAAAGGGAAGCCAAGTGGAGGAGCTAGAAGAAGTCAATCTTCAATGTTGATCTCTCTCTAGATGATAGATAGTATAGAGTAAGGGGGAGTATGTACAATAAATGCAAAATACCAAACATTCTGCCTTCCCTTTGAACAAAGAATTCCATCCTTATGATAAAAAAAAAAAAAAAAGAAACAATTCAATGCCATTTACAAACCCAGAAGAGTGGAAGACCAACCCTCTATTTGGACAGGCTGCATATTTGGTTGGTCTAAGGATTGAAGAAGTGGTTCCCGCACCGGCATTTCCAACCCAACGGCTTGTAAAATGAGTATCTGTTCCCCTGAGGGGACGAGTCGAAGAATTCCATTGGCAAACGAGTGGAGGCCGTATCCAACCTGGCGGCGCGGCCGGGCATGCTCGGCACTTGGACCGCCATGCATGGGTGGCACTCGTTGCACTTGTTGTGGCAGCTGGGTGGGGTGGATCCCAGCCTGGATTTGTCTTCGAAAAATAGACCCTGGCCAGACCAGAAACCAAAAGCAAAAACTCAGAAACAATTCACAAGAGGAAATATCAAAGAAAAGGAAAAGTAAAAAAAGAGAGAAAGAAGGCATACTCTGGGAGGGGAAGAGGCGGAGAGGAGGAGAAGAAGCTGCAGAAGCACAATAAGTAATGAAGTGGCCCAAACAGCAGGCAAATTCATCGTAGTCATCAAATCATTGATACCCAAAACTCATGGATCCAACGAAGCAAAGAAGTAAAAATCATACGCAATAAAGACCCAGTTGCCAGATGTTTCTGTTACTTTGTTCCACTTCCACCCACCGCACCACAAGCAACTAAGAAAGAGAAAGAGAGAGAGAGATGAACATTTAATAGAGGGAAGTGTAAAGCAAGAGGGAAGTGAAGATAGAGAGAGAGAGCATAAATTGGTGCGGGCGAGGGTGGGTGAGTCATAAGTTCTCCGACAACAACGAGAGAGGAGAGAGCAGAGAGGTTCTGAGTAAGAGAGCAGAGTGCAGCAGAAAAGTGAAAGGAACAATACGGTGGAGGAAAACAAATTTGGAGTATCCACATCACATACAAAGGACGCCCTATTCTTCCATTCTAAAACTTTAGGCTGTCCATCACTAGCCTGGCTGCTGCTACAAAGGGACCGCATTTACTCACCCACTCTCCCCTTTGCATTTGTTTCACTCTTCACTGCCATTGATTTTACATCTCAACACTGTGTGCTGATGGGCATGCAGCGACTAGCTCACCCCATCTTCCAAGCAATCAATTATAGCTGATGGAATGGACTATTGAGGTTTCATTTCTATTGCCTTTTTCTCTCCCTCGGCCCTCCTCCTACTTTGACTGTGGACCAATTTTGTTTCTTATTATTTGCTAATAAGACCATTCTCTTCATCTACGAAGGTACGCTAATGTTTAAGAATATTGAGCACATATTTCAATATAACTAAGCTCCAAACTAGCATTTATTCTTCATTACCAAAGTTGCTCATAATGGAGATCCATTTATCTCTAGTCTGACAACTTCATGAAGAATTTGAATTTGCATGTGTAGCTGATTTCGTGATTGCAAAGCTAGCTTGTCATCATTCTAAATTTTATTTGCATTTACCTACCGTTTTGAAAGGAAACTGTAACCTAAATTAAGGATGTAAGGGAGAACCAATGTCTAACATCAAAACTTTGAATACAATATACTGATGTGTAATAAAGAATATGTGGTGTTTGCTCGTTAAAGGCGAAAAGAATGCTGCAAATAATCTGCCACATTCCTCGACTGCCTCTCCAGATCTGTTGATTTTTTTTACAGGCCATTTAGTCAACCATGCATCTTACCAAACTCCAAGAACGAGAGCCTGAGACACAGTGAGCAAACTCGACTTTAGAACCTACTAGTCTGATTCTGACGGCCGAAGAAAAAGAAACACAAAAACAAGTACTTTTGGCTTTCCAACTTCATAAGACTCTTTCATGGTGTTGGAAAGAAACTGAGGGCAGAGGACCCATGCCGAAATGAACTACAGCTCAACTCTGGATCCCATGTTCTCACCGAGAAGGAATAAGGAACTTTTTCTTTCTTTGTTTTTTTGTTTTTTTTTCATAAATATTTTCTTCTTGTCAGAAAATAAACCAGATATCAGGACTCTCAAACTAATTTTTCATAGCGGCAAAAAAGTGTGCTTAAAATGAGGCTGTCCTTTTCTCGAGTTCGTAAATCATAACCAATAATTTTAAGTTCAAGTTCAACATTTGAGATGAGTGTATGTCTTGAACAATTGAACTGTGCTCAAACTGATATTTAATACTCCAATTCTGATAATCGATTTAAATTGTTTATAAACAGGATGGTAAATTAAGTAATATTCTTGAATGTTAAATTCTACTCTTGCAAACCAATAAACTTCATTCAAACGGCTCAATTAACATAGGAAGTTAATCAAAACAGTTTACTTGATCAAGTCAAGAAGTAATGACAAAGTGGAGAATACACGAGCTTCTATATCTTGGGAAGATTTTTTTCCTATAAGGTGAAGAGTTAAGCTATAGTACAGTTCCTTCATTGAAGTACAGATATCATGAAGTACAAATATATTACCTGATAACTATTGATGACTTTACTTAATGGTGATCTATTCTATAGACTGTACTACTGTGTTATTGAGTTCTAAAAAATTATCAGATGACTATTGTAGAGAGAGGATGAAATAATGGTAGAGAAGTAGGGATCTAACCTCAATTAACCATAGACCCCGTAGGCCGTAAGTAGAAAGAATTGTTTGAGGAGTCAAACTGAAATCAATATGGTATTTGTCGGAACAACTTTATTGATAAATCTGCATGCATGATCACAAGGGTTTAAAGAATTCAGAAATTCTATCCTGCACAAGTAAAATGGATTTTTTACAGCTGGTTGATTGGTTTCAATGAGATTCTCCTGAGTTTTAGTTGTTCTTGCATCAATCTTTATGCTTTTGAGAATTTGAAAGGTCCTTTTCTGTAGCTTCATTCTTTGTGGTTGGAGAATTTGAAGGATTTTCAGCAACAATTTTTTTTTTTTTTTGGTCCTTGGGTTTAGGGTTAGAATTTTGAAGGGTCTTCATTGAGCTTCTCCTCAGTCTTAACTGTCCTATATCATTTTTCTGATTTGAGAAGTTCAAAGGGTCTCCATTTTCGAAGCATCAATCTTTATGGTTGGAGAATTTGAAGAATTTTTTTCAGCAACATTTCGCTATTTCCTAGAAAGTTTAAAGCTTTGGCATTCTTCAAGTTCTTCGGTGTTGATTAAAATTGCTTCAAGGATAGATTTATCTAAAGCTTCTCCCCCTTTTTATGTCGGTTATATTTCTTGTTTATTTGTGTTGTATTTCCTTGGGTTTCTATTTCCCCTTTTTCTTTATTTTTTATTTTGTTTTTCCTCCCGTTGAGAGTTCGTATCATTTGAATAATTTTGTTCCTTTTCATTTATCAATGATAAGTTTTGTTATAAAAATTTGAGTAAAATTGATATTTTTTCCCTCATATTAAGTAAAAATTGATGCCAAGTTTGGAGTAAAATGGGTTTTTTCCCCCTCATATTTTCCTTGTTTGTTCTCTATTTTAAAAATTTTTTTTTTTTTTCAATTTTCCCTGATCACTTCCATTATTTTTTAAACAGACCCAAATGAAATACCTTTTAGCTTTAACTTCTTAAACTCTAATCAACATAAATATGATTACTACCTTTCGAGTTCTTTTGGTATTCAACATTGAATCAGTCAGCACTCAGCAGAAAAAGGGAAACTTTCTCTGCACCTGCACTCTCTTAGCCTAACCAGTATCTGGTTCCCATAAATCGACGAAAATACTAACGCGAGTATGGTGAAAAGTGTACCTGAGGCTGCTTGGTTCCAGTGTCATGGAGTTGTTAAGTCGTCGGTAAAAATCACAACGTACTTTCCAGACTATTGATCAGACCATTACAAGACTGCATCTTTATGAACAGAACAGAACCACACAAGCCCTATTCTACTTCCGGTGATATTATGATATTAATAATCGTCTTCTTTTTCTTTTATTGTGTTTTACTGCTTTTAAATTCTCTGGGCGAAAAGAGAGCAAAAAACCGAACCTGACGAACTGCTGCTACATGCCTGTGTCTGAGCATCGGCTTCCCTCCGTAGCCAACAAATTGTATGGTTTTGATAGGGTAAGTGTTGCATTTCGTAGCTTCCATAACATGTAAAAAGCAAGTTGCAGGTTCCCAGCCTGATGTTTCTCCATTAGAATAGCTGTCCTCGTTGCTCGTGTAAAAGCTCCCTGGAACCGACTCCACTGAACCTGTTGACTTGTTCTTATTCAAAGGAACAGATAAGAGAAGATAAATTTGAATGAAAGACTGCATATAAAGCAGACTGGCTGAAGTTGAAAGACCGTCAGTTTTCCAGGAAGAATAAATGCTTACATGCCCGGGGGGAGGGATGGGAATTTAAGATGCAAACTGCTATAGACGATGGAAGTCGATGCGAACCACCAGAATTCAATGAGAAATCAAAATTACAATGGTTAAGCAGAATGTTTCTCCCATTAACACAATGACCACAACAAACATTTCTTTGATTACACTTCTCCTGCCGCTTCACACTTGCTCTCTGAATGCAACCCATTAAATTGAACATTATGGAAACCCAAAATTTTTTCTGGCAAAAAGTATGGAGTGATGCCAGAGTCTAAAACTGCCCACAAGAATTACATCCCACCACCATCCTATTCTGTCATTGTGCAACAACTAACATCCTAATTTGTATCGAAAGAATCCTAAAGCCATCTCCATTCTTTTCTTCAATAGCTCAAATGTCATGGACTTCCTTCTTATTTAAGCGTTCATCGACCAAATCATGCCTCCCAATAGGACTCTGTCCTTCGGCAAGCTCCTGTCTGCTTTCCCATAGCTTTCCCGACTTCCCTATAGCTAGAATCAACTCAAGTTGCTTTTGTTGCTGTTCCTACAAACACCACTCAAAAGAAAAAAAACTCGAATTAGATTAGATGTTGAGCACTCTTATATGAAGAAATAGATCTTGTAGAATATGTAACGATCAGCCGTAGTAATGTAGTAATTGACATTATTCCAACTTCCTTTTTAAACAGAATCCTACCATTCTAAAACTGCAGTACATGATGCTTGATCGGCAATCACTTAATTCACACCTCGAAAAACATAAAACCATTGATTTAAACATTAAGAATGGAAAATTTATTATACCTGCATAGCCAGTAAGACCTTCTGGATTTCAGCAAGCTCCTTCTCCAGAATATCTCCTCGAACTGCCAATGCTCGAGTAGCCTCAGAAGTTTTTTGAGCTAACACTGCAGTCTTCAGAAATAGATCAATTCTTAGAGGCTATGGGAAATGGCATCTCATCTTAGCAAAATGTAAGCAATAGAGATATCAAGGCTTGTTATAAAGGATAAACGTATGATTCACATCTTGGCGTCAATTTTCACCTTTTCAACATGTTATTTCATATTGTAACCGAACCCCTGCGTCACATGAATTTTCTTCACCACTACACATCCATGTCATTCCAATACAATCACCTCACTCAGAGTCGCAACTTCATGTATTTTGTGCAGTGTGTTTGCCAGGTATGTAAAAACACGGCCTATATAAACATTTCAGGATTCGGTTGCTTCTTAGTTCTTAACATTAATATCTCTTGGAATTTTGTTGGAGTTTAATGCAGGAAAAGTTCAGTACCAGGTACTCCATGGACCAATGAACCACTCATTATGGTTCTCATTATCAAACTTTCAATTCTATGTTGTCTTAACCTGTTCAAAGTAATAGATTCACTTGTTTTAACAATTTCTTAGACGGTTCAAAATTTTGAGCGTCCATCGTGATTTGAGTTTTATTTATTTATTTATTACAATATCATGTTAATGTCTCCAAGAGACCATCCATCATTTACTCTGCTGCTAAATATCATCTTGAGATTTCGATATAAAGAAACAGCCTCCAAATTACTCATAAGAAGAATTACCTCCTCGATGGGCTTCTTCAGAGCCTTTCGAGTAACTCTAAACCTAATCCCTAGCTTCTCCAGCTGCCTCGACAAGACTCGAATTAGCGTTGCCGAGCTCTTCAAATCCTCCTCCAGCTTGTTAGTTCTTTCCACCAAATCTATCTCCAATGCGGCCTTCGCTGTCCCTCGATAAATCCGATTCCACTGCCGTCTGCGAATCCAAGCACCAATTGCAACCCCAGCCACCAAAAATAAGAATGCGCCAACGAAAATCCCATCACCAAACACCGCCAAGAACAGACTCTTAGACCTGGCTTTCACGCTATTCAGAGCGACCCCAACAGAAGCGAGCAAAGACGAAACGAGGCAAAACAACTCGGCAGCTGAAAGAAAGGAATCGAGATTAAAATCACCATCACTACTGTCTCTACGTCCAACTCCTCCAGAAGTAGAAACTCGAGGACAGAACTGATGGGTATTAATCGAATAGAAATTAAAAGGGCTTCGAAGTTTGTGATCGAGAAATTGAAAATGCAGCAGGGCGTTGGGGAAATGTCTAGGGGCAAATCGAAGAGACGAGCACGGATTCCTGGAAAAGAAGCTGGAGAAGTAAAAGGTAGAAGGGGGAGGGGAAGGAGAAGGCGAGCTCAGTGAAAGGTATTGGAAAGCAATCGACATCGTTATGGAGGGTAGACTTGCAGAGCGTGTGATTCAAGAATCTAGGGTTTTGTCAGACATGGAAGACGGGACATAGGTCCCTCCTTCAGAACAGAAAATGAAATTGGAGACAGATTTGACTTCGGACAGAAGGGGAGAGAGACGGACTTCGCGGTGGAAGGGAAAACCGCGATGAATTCAATGAATTACGCGCGAGTTTTATCCGATCTATTACTTTATAACTGTAACCGTTAAACTGGATAACCACCAGCGTCCAACAGGGCCTTCTTGGTCCACGGCTTTGGCCCAGGCTTTCTTTTATGGGAAATTTAAGTAAGTGATAAATTTTACCGCCCATTTAAAAAAATGTTCATTTATTTATAATTTTTTAAAAATGGTTATAGGATATATTTGAAATTTGAAATTTTTTAATTTTTTCTTATAATGTCCTCCCATGCATTTACCGGTATTTTAACAACCCAATAAATTTCCTTCAATTCAATGTTCCCTGCTTTCAACGGATTTTATCCTAATTATTTTAATTCTTTTATTAGGAAATTAACTCACGGTCCCCATCTTACCATTTGATTATCTTCATTAGATTTTGTATCATCCTTATATTCGGTCCTTGTCTCACCATTTGATTATCTTCATCAGATTTTGTATCATCCTTATATTAGAAGAATTATCAAAATCATAAGGTCAGTAAATGTATATATCAGTTGATGAAAACCAAAATTAGAATACAAATCACATATATATCACCATCAACTCAATCATCAAAATTAAAACTTCTATATATGTATATACTAATAATTCAACAATTAACAAAAACATGAAAGTTAATAGATGTATATATCAATTTAAGAAACAACCAAAAAGTAATATACTTAATACATTTATTTACTGTTGTACAACTAAAATATCATAAATATAAAACTAGTACATGTATATTCCAATAATTAAAACGTCTATATATGTATGTACTAATAATTCAACAATTAACAAAACATGAAAGTCAACAAATGTATATATCAATTCATGAACAAAATACGAAAGTCAATAGATCTATTGACTACTGCTAGTACATGTATATCCCAATAATTACCTAGCTCTTCCTCAACTATGTTGAGACACTTTCTTTTTCCCTGAAACATAAAAGTAGAATTAGCTTATTAAATATAATTTTTAAATATTACTATTCAACAAACATACATTGAATTCTTACCTTCTTGGTAGATTCCTTACAACCCAAATTCCTTTTAGGGTCAAGTTTAATTTGTTTTGTTTTACCTTSGATTAAGTCTTTCCCACACCTCTTTTTGTTGGTCTCCTTCAATATTGGAGTCTCTCCTGGGTCTTTGATGATTCAATCTATACATATAAAGATAAAACATCTATGGGATGATTTTTTAAAAAAACAAACATGCCATAAATAAACTATTGCATCTATACCTCTTCTTCATTGTCTAAATTGATTGTACACGTTTCTCTTTGACGCCTTGTTATTCCAGCCGTCTTTTAATTGAGTTATTCCTCCTCTAACTTTAACTATATATAGATTTTATTTAGTTTGTAATTTACTTAAATATAATATGTTTGTTAGAGATAAACACATATACTCCTGAAATTTGGTTATTAACAACACTCATGTGGTAGGTCCCATATTTATATATTTTTAAAAATACACCTCAAAATTTAGGAAGACAAAAAATATCTTTTTAAATTAAGCTTTATAGGCAAAATCAAAACAAAGATTTTACCTTCCTCAAACAGTCGGAGTAATGGGCAACGATGACCGGTTTTAGTCTGTGGCGGGAGGGTCGAATCTGGTTAATAGGTCGGAAACATATCGAAGCGACAGTAGGTGGATCTGGTCTGGGGCAGTCGGCGGATCGTATCAGCCTTGGCAGATCTAGTCAGGCGGCAGGATGGTAGATCTGGTTTGGGATGTGGTGCATCAAACAGATATGGTACGTGTTACAGCCAACGGGTAGGGTGGCGGCGGTTGGGTGCGGCAGCGTAGGTCTGGTTTTG